TCATGTCGGAGGGAGCTACTAATTGTCGAATCATCACCTGGAATCTCAATAAAGTGGTTGAAGTACGTCACTAATCTGTAATGAATGTGAGATTTTCCTTTTGGTTAAAGGCATTAAAACATTCTTTGTCTCATTGTATTCTTAATACGTGGCCAAGTATTTTACTTCAATAGAAAAATGGATTCGTGGTTTCCGTTTTGAACGAAACCTTAGCTACACAGAAGATACTCTAAAATTGTATTCCCACTTTTAATAGCGCCACATAGTCACTTCCTAACTTCAAATAATGAACAAAAACTCAGCCTCTTTTAACAGCGCTTCAAATAAAATGAAAACTTAACAAATTTGGATAGGTTATGGTGCGAAAATGTGAACCGTCACAGAGGAACTGGGATCATCAGATGGCGCAAAAACTCCTCACATGTAACTGTATCCACGGTTATTTAAAATTGGTTTCGTACTTCAGACGGGTGAGCTCTAAAACATGACTCTTAAAAAAACTGTTATGACGCGCCTATGGTTATTCGTAATTATCTTCATCAGTGTGCGGTAGGCATCAAGCACATCTCATTTCACAAACGGAAACAATGTGAAGCTGGTCCATTAGCTATTTTCCTGTTTATGCTATTAGTGTATTAGTAAAACTAGAAATGCCCTATCTTTTGAACTTTATTAGTAGATACTGTTCTATTTGTTTGTAAATGTAGACATAAAATTTTACAAGCCAATGATATGGAGCGTTTATTTTTATCTTTTGGTTACATTAATGATTTGTATAATGCACAGGCTAGGGCTTAGGGAAAATTGTCAGTCGTAATCAATTTTTCAAGCACAGGAAGAACCTCCAGTAATTATATTTTTCACTGCTAGCTTGAGAAGTAATCATTATTGGCAGCAATGCCTTATTGAGAAGTAGCATTTCTACCCTAGGGAAATAATGGAAGCAAAAAACATCTTGGTGAATAATGTCATTTGGAATTGTATCCTGACAATTTCATTGTAAGCTTGACAACTGAACTTTATATTTCGAAATATTTAAGAACCATTAAGAAATAAGTTGGACTAGAATCAGCGGCATTTAGCGGCCACAGTGGTGGCCCGGACGACAATGCGAGCTGGCATACAGTTCCACCAGAAAAAATCTGATAAGACAGATCACCAGAAAGTGTTATTACAGTGAAGTAGCTAAACACTCGCTGGCTCCCGCATCACCTGAATGGAGGGGGTTCCTGAAAATAGGAGCCCCTTCTGGGTTTCGGTCGTAGCCGAATGTCGAAGTATGGGGGTACACTGCTGAAAGTTGTGGAAGTCCAATCAACACTTCCCAGTCATACCTCCGAATTAGTGCCCCATGCTTTCAAATTGAGAAACTCGATCGATTATTGCAGAACTAGTCATAGTCTAATCATATTAGCAAATTTCCCCGAAATTATTGTAAAGTCTGGTTTTATTGGTGCAAGTTGTTTAAGGGGTGTTTAAAACATGGACGCATAAAATGGGTACACCAAACTTTTTATTTGACAACAAAGAATGATTTTTTAGGATTCAATCGAAAGTGTTGGCAGGAACAAAAAAACTCTTTATATAAGATTTTTAGGTATTTATGAGACATACAAAATGAGACCACACGCAAAAAGATCCGACTAACACCAAAAAAGTTATGGCCGAAAACCGAGGCAAACTGCCAGTTTTGGCACTTGGTAATGCAACGATAATTTCACGCAACTATTTGAAATTCTTCAAATACGTAGGATTCGTATTTCTAAATAACACCAATAAAATGAGAGTATATTGGTCAAGTAGTTTTTTTGAATTTCTAATTTTTTATCCCAAAACACCTGTTTTCCGGCCATCACTACTAGTTTATTGAGCAACATACAGGGTTCGTTCAAAGAGCATTTAATAGCAAAATACACGTGTTTACCTTGCCGATATACATTTTCAAACAAAGCGGATGAGTCTATCATCGTTTGTTGCGAATTACTCACAAATACGAAATGTTTGAATTTGTTTAGAAGAAAAAACGTAACCAGTACTTTTTTGCATAAAAATAACATTTATCTTCCGAAATGGTTTGCGATATCGGCAAGTGTATTTTGCTATAAAATACCCTTTGTACTAACCCTGTATATTGCTCAATAAACTAGTAGTGATGGCCGGAAAACAGGTGTTTTGTGATAAGCAATTAGAAATTCTCAAAAACTACTCCAATTATGTTGTGGTTATTTAGAAGTACGAATTTGAAGAATTTCAAATATCTGCGAGAATTCATAGTCGCATTACCAACAAGTGCTAAGACCTGCAGTTTACCTCGGTTTTCGGCCATAACTTTTTTGGTATTAGTCGGATCTTTTTACTTGTGGCCTCATTTTGTAGGTCTCATAAATACATAAAAATCTTATATGAAAAGTTTTTTCGTCCTTGCCAACACTTTCGATTGAATCCCAAAAAACACGTTTTCTCATTCCTGGTTGTCGAATAAAATGTTTTCCCACAAAAATTGGTGTACCCATTTTATGCGTCCATGTTTTGGATACCCCCTTGAACAACTTGCAGTAATTAAACTAGACTCTACAATTATTTCGCAAACCAGGGATATTTATGAACTTCAATCCCAAAACATCCGATCTTATTATATACTAAGTGACATATAAATCCGAACACCCAGTTTAAATGGTTTTATTTTAATAAAAGTTGGTGAATGTATTTATCTTACTGTAAATAACAAGTGAAAAAATTTTCAGCCTTATCAGTTGGACATTACGGTTTTTATACTGCTTTTTTTTAATTCACTAACGCTCTAAAAATGAACATTTCAGCCGCAGTAAAGAATCAACGTTGGCGGATTTTGGTTCTTGACATCCTTTACGATCGGTTACGATGCCTAGAGTACGGCCACCTCTACGATTTCGTCAACTTAGTGAGTTTGATAGGGGCCATATAGTGGGACTTCGGGAAGCTGGACTTTCTTTTCGGGCAATTGAAGTTAGAGTGCAAAGAAGTGTAGACACTGTGGTTAGGTGTTGTCAGGCATGGCTTCGAGAAGGCCGTACGCAAAGAGCAAGGGGCACTGGACGCCGCCGTAGAACAACAGACCGTGAAGATCGCCGCCTAAGATTTTTGGCCTTAAGGGACCGTTTCTCCACTACCAGCTCCATTGCAAATGAATGGTTTGCCGAACACGGAAGACCTATTGGCATGCGAAGTGTTTACCGACGAATGATAAGTTTTGGCTTGTTTTCATACCGGCCACACTGGGTCCTCCCTTTAACTCGAGAACACCGACGTAATCGCCTTGAGTGGTGCAGACAACGGTCACTCTAGGATCAGGAATGGAACAGTATTGTCTTTAGTGATGAGTCTCGATTTTGTTTAGGCATGCACGATGGTCGTGCCAGGGTTAGAAGGCGACGTGGTGAAAGGAGAAATCCACAGTTTTTTGTTGAAAGACATGTTCATCACACTGTTGGAGTTATGGTTTGGGGTGCTATAGCTTATGGTTCCAGGTCACCTTTAATCTCCATCAGAGGTAACATGAACGCGCAGCGTTATATCCACGAAGTTCTGGAACCCCATCTTTTACCCTACCTTGACACCCTGGCAGATCCAACTTTCCAACAAGATAATGCCCGACCACATGTTGCAAGAGTCACAATAGACTTCTTTCAACATAATGATATCACATTGTTACCATGGCCACCAAGATCTCCCGACTTATCCCCAATCGAGCACGTGTGGGATATGATGGGTAGGAGATTGCTCAATTTGCAACGTCCTCCTCAGACTCTAGCAGCACATCGAGAGCAGTTGGTGGTTGCCTGGAATGAGATACTACAGGAGGACATTGACCACCTGATCAAAAGCATGCCTAGGCGCGTTGGAGAATGCGTAGCACATCAGGGTGCATCCACACATTATTGAAGATCAAAGGGCTTTAAAGCAGTGCAATCATTTTGAAATTTTTATCATTTACTTATTATGCTTCATTAAGTACTTATACAAAATTTTATTAAAATAAAACCATTTAAACTGGGTGTTCAGATTTATATGTCACTTAGTATATATATATATATATATATATACAATTAATTGTTAATTGAGAAATTGGCAAAACTCTTAGGCTTAAGTTGACTCTTTTGACGATAAAATCGAGCTTTCGGCATTCTCTATGGAGCCTTCATCAGGATTCTGAAAACACAATTGTGATGCTAGCAAAGAAAACAGGACAAATTTAAATTGTCAGACAACTTACTCGTCGGTGAGGTTGCAGCCACAAGGTATTACAGAACGAACGTAGAGAAGATCGAAATTATAATCAGTATAAAAACAAAAGGACGGGGACATGGGGTTTGTTGTAAAACGACAGATACCTTCGTTAAATGTTAAAAATATCAATCCACCACAAACAATTAACAGGAAAACCTGATCATTTTATCGCTTGTTGTTCATGGCAAAATAAAATTGTATGTAAAAAATTATTGAATTCTAATAAACACATGTAGGTGTTTACTTTTTTTGTCACTCAGTATATGTGTCTGTTAAAGTTGATCATTTAATGTGCTAAAGCTAAAATCACACGAAATTGGTATCGATGGGCAACTGTGGCATACGTTTTAGAACGTTAACTTGCATGTTTATCTTTGCTCGTTCTCAACAGTTTCGGATTAAGTTGACTACGTGGAGTTTGGTTTGAAATAAATGTACATGAATAAACGACTATGGCCCGAGATCTGAACTTTGGAATGCATTTTTGAATAGTTTCCACCAAATTTCTGCACTGCTAAAAGACCAGAGTAGATATTCCCGTTCACAAAAACGTTTGGCATATTCAAATCAACAAGCGTAAATGAGATTATTTGCATTGCTTTGGATAGGTTGCGATATTATATTTTCTTACCGCTTTGAGGCCCATATGGTTTCTGAGAATGTGCTGATTTTGTGCTTGCTAAATGAATCACTATAAACAGCGTCTATGCTAATGCCGTGATGTTCTCTTTCAGAACGTACCTTCTGCTTAAGATGTCTCCAACAGCAACTTTGATATCCCAGCCAGCCACTCTGTCCAACCCTCTGACGTCACTCAGGAACAGGCAGCAGGAATACGGCAGCTCAAACTCAGCTAACTCTTTGTTCACCTCTTACCCTACGACTAACTGGTATCAGTACCACAGTTCGGATCAGTATCAGGTTAGTGCTTGACAATTTCATTTGAGCTGAAAACCAAGAAATCCATGAACATAGACAAACAAGGTCGGTAAAATCTGTCAGAATATTATTTATGACATTTTCTACGAACTTCTAACAGACCATGAATCTACAAAATTATACTTTTTGCTTAGTATGTTTGAAAAAAATAATTACGTGCGTTTCCAAGCAAAAATAATTTTTTCAAAATACGCATTTTTAATATCCATAGAAAAAGAATGTAAATGAATATTGAATTGAGGAAAATATTTGAACTTCTTCTATATTTATTCGTTTTGAAATTAAATAAACAATAATTCTTTGTTGGTTGAAACTATTCAGTGAGTACATAATAAAAAACAACAGATTATCCATTTTGCCCAGACGTCCAGGTTAAACGTTGTCACATTGTGCAAAATGAATACATATCACAAATGGTTAAAAGCTTCATTCTTTGTTTCATACACAAATAAAACAACCATCAGTATGCTCAGATTTCGGACATTGAACATCGAAGATCACAACTTGCCGTGTATTAGAAGATGAATGACCTTTGAGATCTAGGAAACTGTAAGAAATACGAAGTCGCTTAAATGGGGGCAGTTTCTGTGATCAAAAAATGCCGGTTGAAAAGTTTCGAAATTCAAAGTACGAGGGATACCTTTTAAGTTTTGCATATGGAAATAAAACAACTTGGTAGGCAGTTTTAAATGACTTTATTGTTTTTCGAAGTACTCTCCACGAAGATTAATACACATCTGCATGCGCTCGAACCAATTTCGAAGCACTTATTTCCACTCGTTTGCTTGCAAAACGGCATTTTTGTATGCCTCAACTGCTTCTTCTGGTGACTGGAATCTTTGACCCCGCAGACTGTTTTTAATTTTCGGGAAAGTAAAGAAATCGTTAGGACTTAGATAAGGACTATATGGAGGATGGTCCAATAATTCCACGTTTTCTTCCTTTAAATACTGCCTTGTTTTTTGGGCTGTGTGGGAGCTTGCATTGTCTTGGTGGAGGATGATTCTTCTTTCGGGGTTGATTTTTCGAAGCTCGGTGATGACTTTTGGCAAACAAATGGTGGTATACCATCCGCAGTAACAGATGTTTGCTCATTAAGAGGAATTGTTGCAATATGACCCGCTTTTGACACAAATGTCGCGACCATCTTTTTCGAAGCACAAACAGCCGACTGTCGTTTATTTTCTGGTTCATAACAGTAAATCCACGATTCATCACCACTAACAATGCTGTACACATTTTTTGAGTTTCCGGAATTGAAACGGTCAAGCGTTTTTTGACACCAATTAACCCTGGCTGCTTTCTGCTCTTCAGTCAACAGGTGGGGTATCCAACGAGAAACTAATTTTCTTACTTCTATTTCTTCATGTAAAATTTTTGAATTGAGGTCTTTGAGATCTTCAAGGACGCTTCAATCTCGCGATATGTCACATGTCTATCTTCAATGATGAGTTTGCGCACAGCATCGACGTTTTCCTGGGTGACTGACGTTTTCGAGCACCCACCCTGGGATCGTCGCTAAGACTCACCCGCCCACGTTTGAATTCTCCATACCAACGGGAAATTGTCGACTGATGTGGCGCTTCGTTGCCGAAAACAGACAGTAACTCAGTAAGGCATTCTTGATGCGATAATTGTCTCTGAAAGTTGTAATAAATTATCGCGCGAAAATGTTCTCGGTTGGGTTCCATTTTTCTAATGACTTGGTGACACTTAAAAATTCACTGTGTGAAACTTTGAATTTAAGTTTACTAAAGAGTGAGAATAAGATTCAGTACTGACGTTGGATCCGCGCGGCCTACTATGTTTCTATATGCAAAACTTAAAAGACATCCCTCTTACTTCCAGAGAGACACGGAAAATACCGAATTATCCCAAAATCGTTTTCATTTGCTCCTAACTTCATTTGTAGGGGGATTTTACAACAAATTCCACATTTCGACTTTTTAATTTTGTCCTCCAGCAACAACTTTATTTTTTCTGATGGACGCTATATTGGATTTTTACACAGATGAATAGAGTTTTTAATTCTGGTCCCAAAAATGTCATTATACATTATGCATTGACATTGCCAAACTTTAGTTATTTCAAAAAATCAGAATTTCCTAGGTAGGCCGTGAAATTATCAGATAGTCATTTGTTTGCACATCCGCTGGGGTATTACGTAAAAAAACCTAAAAAACGTCAAAAAAAAACGACAAAATGATGTCTTGCAGATTAGGTAGTTTTAATGTGCAAATATTCCACGCTTACTCTCTATAGTCGCTGTGAGCGTCATCAAACGCGTCCATCTAAGGAGGAAATACTCAACGACACAACACGCTCAAGCATGCATTGTTGGTTGCACAAAGCCAAGTAGTGTTTATATCTGAGAAGATGTGAAAGAAATAAAGTTGGTTGAGTAGCAAGATCGCATCTGAATGATTATGTTTGTTTTATGTGATTGGCCTGCATGTGTATAAATCAATGATATTTACTGTGTGATTAAATTATTGCTGAATATGCTGCCACTGAAGTGTATCTATTAGCTGTGCCTGACGGGTTATCTATATGTTGTCCTTTCTGAAGACAGGTTATGTTCAAAGTTAAACATTACGATTTTTCCCTTTTTTCTTATGTTTTAAAAAACTTTGAGGAGTATATGACTTGTAATTCGTCAGTGTACAGTGAATATAATTGCAATATGTGGCAGTATTTAAGTATAAAATGTAAATTTAATTACTTCACCAACCAGGGAATTATCTTTTCTTATCTCTCTCATTTTTGAAATGCAGCAAATTCGCATATGAAATTTCTAGAATGAATAACAAAAAGTAGATGCGCAATCAACTTCTAGCTTGGAATACAGCTCAAGTAAGTGTAATTGAGACAAGATATCAATAGACTGATCAATACCGATTATTAGCACACAAATCCTCACTATGCACCTATGCACTGCCGCTTCCTTCCAGCTATAGAATACAACTTACAGCTTAGACCTCCAGTAATGCCATCTCTGAAGCATATGTTACATCACATCAGAACCAAACATTGATAGCTGAAGCATCATGACGTTTAAGCAACACGTACAGTTACAAAACGAGTACACAACAAGAGTAGGACAACAACTAGTGCTAAGTTAACATCTTGTAGAACAACCTATAAAATGTCAAAAAATGACAAAATGCCACTTTTAAAAATACGTAATACCCGTGCCGATTTATCTCAAAATCAGTTTAGTTTCTCCCGAGTTTATTTGAGACCGGATTTCAAAATAAATTGCAAGTTGTTGTACTTATTCTCCACTACAAAATGGCGTAGCCAAATTTCCGATTCGACATTTCTGCTTTGGGCTTCCATCGCCAACTTCTTCTCAGTCTTTCAAACTCTGTTGCTATGTCCAGTTTGAGATGTGGCCTGCCAGACGAAAGAAATGGTGTCTGATAATTTAATTCATACTTACCTGAATAACCAAGGTTTGGCAATGTCAACATACGACTCCATTTTATAAATCAGAAATAAAAACTCTATTCATCTGCGAAAAAGTGCAATATGGCGTACATAAGAAAAAATAGACGAAACGCAATATTGAAATTCCAATTATGTCATCTTGTAGAGGATAAAAAGTAGCAATGTTAACATGCAATTTACTTTGAAATCCCAAAGCCAGTAAAAAATAAAAGTGATTTTGAGATAAATCTGGTAGGCGAAACAAATGACCACCTATCTGATAATTTCAAGGCCTACCTAGGAAATTCTGCTTTTTTGAAATAACTAAGGCTTGGCAACGTCAATGTATGACTTATTAAGCATTTTTGAAACCAGACCTAAAAACTCAATTCATCTGTGCTAAAATCCGATATGGTGTCTATAAGAAAATATAAAGTTAATGCTGAGGACAAGAGATGAAACGTCATATTTAAATTCTAGTTATGCCATCTTGTACATGAGAAAAAGTGTCAAAAGCGCAATTTATTTCAAAATACCTCTACAAATACTGTCAAGAAAAAGTTAAAACGATTTTAGAGAATTTCGATTTTTTCCGTCTCTCTCCGGAAGTGGATTTCAAAATTGTATAACTTTGTTTATTATCTAAGTACGCAGCTTTGCCTCCATTTAAGCGTATCTCTTACAGTTTCCGAGATCTCAATGGTAAGGGTCGAATTCGAAGCACCCTGTATATAACGGGGTATATTGGTTTTGCCCAGATAAAGTTGTAACACTATAGAACATGTCAGTTGTTCAAATTGTCTCAGGAAAAAGCTACTTCGTATTCACATTCACTGCGTATTTCAAAGTGATTCCGACTTGGCATGCTCATACCTAGGTGACTAAATGAGTCTGTACTATAGTGATGCCATATTTAGATCTGCAGGTACAAAAATAATAATACTTTATTTCCACTTTTTTATCTTTTATCAAAATTCTTCAAGCTGAATATTGAGACCTTTAACTATGTACAAAAAAGCCAATGAATGCTGCTGGTTAATTAGCAAAATCGACTGATTGCCTCTATTTTGATTCATTAGTTAAACATTTTTATTCATGCCTCAATTTTAGCAGTTTATGTTACACACAACCCCAAAGGACCCGACAACACGCCTATGGGAAAAGTGGTTTTGGTTAATTTTGCTGAATTTTTTATATATATTATGCGCCTTGGCATCCTGAGCAAATGTTTCAATGGTCACAGGCCCCCAACCTCAATGGGTTCCAAGATATAGGCCGTCCAAGTCGGCATAGTGGAGTATCAGCCCTATCCAATATCTGCTTTAAGTGGAAGAGAGGTTTCGGCCAATTTCGCTGAATTACTCATATGTTATTATAATAATAATCGTCTTTATTTAAATTGTACAATTTCATACAGAGAAACAAGAGTTGCATATGGTGGCGAAGCTTAGCAACATGCTACTCTTACACTTAACCACCCATGCAAAAAAAAACAAGATGTTAAGTAGCAGATATCAAACAAAGTATATACATATATATATATATAAACACTA